GCAGTGAAAACATTCGCCTTTGACCCCAGAAGCTCCAAATAATTACTGTTTGATGAGTCACGACTTGATCATGCCCTTGGAGATCAGTAGCGCCGGGGGGGGGTCAATTTTTGCCTGACTGATCACATTCCCAGATATTTATATTATTTCTTTCCACTTGAGAGACGATAGAATTGGGGGGGGGCGAAACCTGACGAATTAATATTGTCGGTCAGGACAAATGACTGGGTTGAACAGTTGGCAAACTGCGGCTTAAAGTTTGTTTAAGCAAAGCGTGCACATAAATGAAAGTGTGGCCACCGTCCCATCTCCCTCTCTCTTTTCTAGAAGGCCATTAAAATCAGCTGTCACTCAGGAAGGTTCAGTAAAAGAAACTCCAACGAAAGAAGGAGGCAAATAGAGATATATTTACTGGAAACTCCCAGCTTTCACCTCTTAGAATGGACTTTTCTTAAGGCCGGAAAACTTAGAGCGGCAGTTTCCATTTTTTCAAGGTTTCCCAAACTCGCGATATGAAAAGTTACCTCATGCTGCTATATAGATTGTGTTTGGGGGGGGATTATGTGGAGTGTCCGACTGAGAGTCAGGCTGTAATGGCTCCCTCCTAATGTGGCCCAGGTGGGAAAGAGGAAAAGAGTGCGTAGATGCAGTGGATGTTTACTCTCACTATAATCTAATTGCCACTGCGTCAGCATACTGTGGGGTACACGGTGGACCTCGTCGGATACGACGATCACACTGTCGTGAAGTGATTCGGAAGGCCAAACTTGACTTCCTCAAGATTCTTCTGACGGGTGGTTAGTAAAAAGCCATGAGATGTGGCCCAAATGACAGACCAAAAGCCGTCCATTAATCCTGCTGCCGGTAGGGAAAGGACTCGAGTCGGCTACTGGAGACGAGGTAAAATTAGAGAGGGAGAGAGAGTTCAGTTAGGAAGGGCATACATACCACATCGTCATCGTCGCCATCATCGTCTTCCTCCTTTTCTCCGCCCGAGACACCATTCGCAGCAGCCGGCCAGGCAGACGGGACTGGAACGGAGGACGGAATGTCGGCTGGTTGGCCCGAAGTGAGCCCAATAGGTGTGACGATGGCGTCAGCAGGCTGCTTTCTTTGCGCTTCCTCAACTGCGCACTCAGCCGGCTGCATATTCCGATGACTCGGCTTCCGGCGCAACTTCTCCCCTGTTGTCGGCACTGTCCGAATTCGGGAGGCAATTTCGTTGGCGTTGTCGCCCAGAGAGGAGCGGGACATCTTGTGAGCGTTGTGATG